GTTTTAATCGAAGATGCTGTTCTTCAAGGGTCAGAAACCCCCACCCTATGCAACTCAATGTAAGTCCTAGATAAAGAACTGTGCTTACTTGTATGGGCAGGCCTGCTGGTAAAGGTATTTGCAGAAACTTAAAGGCAAGCTATGTGTGGAGGAGGACTGGGAATCATTTTCCTTCTGGGTGCGTGGCTTGGGCAGCACCTGCTCCTTTGCAGAGAACTCCCCCACCCCAACCAGGGCCACAGGAAGCCCTGCAGTGTTTTATTCAACTGCTGCTCTGTGAGCTGAGTTTTTGGTCTTCTACAGCTTGCACGTGGGAGAGGGTTTGTACAGCACACATGCTATTGGTTTTGGAACAGAGCCCTTGGAGAGTGTCAGGGAGTTTCCTTGTCTGTAACTGGGGATAATTCAGTTTGCCTTGGACAAGGCTTTAATATGTTCAAATATAACCTTTCAACTGTTCCAGCATTCGTGTTTTTGTGTATGATCGTGTGTCATGTGTATTGTGGGCTGCTTATGTTCCCATGTATTTGATAGAATGAAGTAAGGTCACAGGAAACTTGAGGCTTCAGCACGTATAGAGCTGCACAAGTACCAGCTTTCAAGCTTTTTTCATCTGCTTCACTCTCTCTTACCTTGTTCCCAGTTTTAACAACCACAGTGCTCCTGCCTAAAATCTTCCAGGCCATCTTTCCCCCTGTCCCATCTTACCACGGGTATTCCTAGTTTCCATCATTTATTTCCTCTCCACTATTGGGATAGTCCTGGCGGTGTTACAGTGTCTAGCAAAGAGCTGTGAAACATCAGGAAATCTGCATGACATGCAGGAAAATGCTGGTGCTCTGTAGCCTCTTGTTCCTTGTTTGTATAGCATCTGGTGGAGCAGTGTCTTATTGGAAGTGCTGTACAAATACATAGGATTGCTCACGAGAGTATGGGGATTAACTCTGTAATTCACACAAATTGATGCTAATGAGAGAGCTACTTAGGGGAGTACTCTGCGTAGCACTCTGCTAGCTCTGCCTTTCCTCTGATCTGTAGGTATCAGAGGTATCACCTGTAGGCTTTGAGAGGGCAATTGGCAAACCATAGTTGGGGGTACTCCAGACCTCAGCTGGTGAAATTAATGGCTGGGGGAAATAAATATAAGCAAGTGGTGTTGCATGCTTTGCTGTGGGAAATTCCAGGATTATCTGTGTTTTAAACCTCCTCCACCCACAGAATCCAGCTGTGAGAACCCTGCGATCTGAACCCTCTCCCTCTGAGCTGCTATGCCAAAATAGAAACAGGCTTTTTCCTGGTCAGGCTTTGTCCTGAGATGATCTCTCTCAGTTTGTGAATGTGCTCTGACTTGGCAAAAATACAGCCATTTAAAATATGCAGCCTGACAGCTGTGATACTGTGCACACTATGGTCTGGTGACTGACCGGAGGAGTAACAAGTGCCCTCTGCAGAGCAATGCGGTCAACACTGGAGTCAGTCCTGTCAGTGCCAGTCCTGCTGGTTTGCAAGCCCAGCACCCCTCTTCTCCTGCAGCCGAGACACAAAACTGTGGCTTTGGCAGTGAGTTAGGGAGGGCAGGAGATGTGAGGTCATAAAATCCATTGGTGACCTGGAATGCACTGGTGTTTGCATTGCAGCCTTTGATGTGCAGGACTAAAATAGGGTACCAGAGGCAAAGTGCTCCAGTGATCTTCCAGGGCTGTAAACTTCAGATCTGATTGTCTTTTCTATTTACAGGTAAGGAAAGAAATATTTGAGCTGCAAAGGTATGTAAGCAACTTGCCAAAAAAAATTTGTATAAATCTCCATTCAGTTGTTTTCTTAGTGGAAAAGAAAGGCCAGCCTTTCCACAAATCCCATGGCAGTGCATCCAAGATAGTCTAAGTTAGATGGATAAAGGTATTTGGAGGATTGATTCCTGCAAGTTGCAGTCACTGCTGTGCTGCCAGTTTAAGCTCACATCCAGCACAGCAGTACAGCGAGTATGCTGGGATGGTTGGAACAATGCCCCTTCCCTTCTTTAGGGATGTTTACTTATCCTTTCACAAGGACTCACATGTCCCAGACGACAGCACTGTTTTCCAGACTTAGCAGTGGATCTAAGCTGGTAGGAAAGCAGAGAAACCAGTCATTTCTTTTTGGTTAGCTTACGAAATATAAGGGAGCACTGAAGTGTTCCTTTTTTATCCCAAATGAGGAATGTTGGATAGATCTTCCTCATCTCTCCAAAGAATATGGTGTGGGAGGTCTCAAAAGTATAAAATTGCTTTTCCTTAATCAGAAAGACAGGAGCCCTGGAGCTTTAATAGAGACGTATTTTCTTCCCAGCAGTTCTCAAACATTTGTGCTACATTTAATTTGATGATGGAGGAGTTTTAAAGGGGTTGAATAAATTGTTCTGTGTTAATTGAGTGACATGCAGATGATACGTCCTCTGCCAGAGATCTGGAAAGTCTTTCAGGAACAAAAGAAACAACAACTAAAAGCAGACTCAATTTATTGTGTTTAAACAACAGAAGTGGAAAACATGCCTCATGTACATAAATACTGCTGTCAGAGAGAAAAATGTAAAATGGCCATGAGGGCTCTTCAGCTAGACTAGGCCAATGCATTCAGTTACAAGGGAAGGTGTTGAAGTGTGCGGAAGAGGAGAAGGGCTGGTCCAATGCAAGGCTATCATGTGGGTGCAGTGGGGCTGCTGAAGCTGCTGCCTCGCAGGGCAGGGATGGGTTAAAGCTGGAGTAGGTCATGGCACAGCTTGCTCTTTCTGAATTATGAATGCCATGCTCAGGGTATGCTTTTGCTTTGCAATGTTAATGGCTTCAGTGAGCTGTAGCGTGTGCGTGCCTTAACCAGGCACTTTTATGTCCTACATACGTCAGTTGGCAGGCAGTGACAATGCACACATGGATTGCAACCCTTGCACCCACCTGAAGAACCTTTGCAGCATTTAAAGCTGGAGGTACATCACTGTATATTCCAAACTCGACCCTAAGGAGGTGCAGTTAGTGTTCAGAAAGAACACAAATAGCTCATATTTGCTCTATGTTTAAATCAAGCTTATGGTGCGTTACTATGCAAATGTTACAACTTGTATTTCCAGCAGTGTTGCTCAGCTCTCATGCATACATGCTGTCAAGTCAGGAAGAAGGAAAATCAAGTACACCAAAAATAAATAAAACAATATGCTTGCACATGCTGCAGCTGCATCACATCTTGTTTATTACATGCAGCTCCTCCCACCACACTAATCACATGCTCTGAAGGTTTCAGTGTGGAAAGCTCAGCAGCCACCAATGCAAAATGACAGCAGTAAAGCCATTATGATTTACACCGCCTCCACATCAAGTCTGCAGGCTTTGTTTACGAACGGCAGGGCTGTTTGTGCAAGGCTGTGCCCCATTTGGTGTATGGGAAATCTGGTGGTGCAATGATGTATTCAGTTGCACTGGGAAATAAAGAGGCATTCTAAAGACTTAAGGTACTAAGTGCTCCTTGTGTGCTGCTGCATTTCATTTATAACATATCCAAGCCTGTCTCTGATTGGCTATAAATGAACTCCCATTGAAAAATAAAAGCACAGACTGCCTGGGAGAATGGCTTCCAGATTTCTCATGCAGACTTCATTAGCAAAACTAGTCCTAATGAGTGCACAGCAGGTTTTACATTACACCCTGCAGATACTGGGGCAGGACTTTGATATTTACAATATCAGTACCAATATTTACACATAAGCTATAGGCTGGAATGATAGGAAGTGCAAGACTTGCCATGAAAGCAAGGGTGGGGGTATGGTTTAGAAAGGGAGGATAACCAAAGTTATTCCTACCAAGAAAGTGGGAATTCAGAGCTGTGTGGGCTGAGTTTTGTCCTCACTTGGCATGGGGGAATTATGTGATTTTATTCTATGACTCACAGTTGTCTCTACAGCATTTGCGTCACCCAAAGAAGTTGAATCTGCATAAGACCTAGTGTGTTCCAGGAGGGAATATTTTGTTCTGTAACATGAATTGGCGAGCGCAGACTGGCAGCTTTCTTGTTTTGCTTCTTTCTTGTTATTATCACTCGGGCACAAACAGCAGAATTTCTCGGAGCCAACAGATTGTGTTATCACAGGAAAGCAAATGCAGCGTCAGGGAAAATCCTAGCACTGGCAGATTCATTTGAGATTCAGCGAGAGTGAGTTTCTCTTACTGAGAGCCATAAGCCTCTGGTGTGCTTCCCTTGGACTCTGTTTACATGTGGAAAAACACAGCACTGCATCAGCTAGGTAACTGAACTGCTTTCCTCAGTTCCACCCGGATTCGGCCTTATTTCACTTTCAGAGCCTCTCCCATTATAAGTCATCTCATCACAAGGTGCCACAAGTTAGTCACTGCCCTGGAGTGGTTGGGGTTTTTCCACCCAAGAAAGTTGCTGTGGTGTTTGGCACACAGAAGAAAGGGATGTCAGAACTGAAAGGTGAGCTCAGGCACTGGTTTGGAGGTACAGCAAATCCAAATTTAGGGCTCTTCGGGCTGGATCGCAAGGACTACAGCCCTGTGGTGCAAAGTGCTGACCCAGCCCTGGCTCACTCTGTTTGTTCAGACGTGTTCGAGTGTTTCTGAGAAGTTATATTTATGCTGGCAGGCTGCACGGCAGTCAGGTGGTGTCTATCCACGTGGCTCTGCTTTTCTGCAAGGCTGGATCAAGTTTCTTTTCCTGCAGCTGGCACAGAGCTGTCAGACAAGTATGATGTTGACATAAACACTGTGCCAGCTAATTTGACAGAAATGAGCTGGCGTGACCTGGAACCTTGCAGATGGGGTTACATTAAGGGCTGCAGGAGTGCCTCAATCTCCCACCCATGGGAACAAGTAGTGGCTCAGATGTATCTGAAATCCTAAGCAAAACAAGGCTTTTCTTGCACCAAGCACCTCATATAAGATGGAGAGTGTGGGTGACACCCACCTCTCACCCCGCCTCTTTGCTGGAAAGCTTATGGACTGGCACCAGACTTTGCTTCTTGTTCATCATTTGTTGCTGCTTGGCAATTTGAGGGTGTCATCACCCTGTGTGCCTCTTAAGGTAAAGGAAACTTCCTTCTCTTCCACCATTTTGGCTTTTGTTTTCCACTTGCTCAGGATTTGCCAAGGCACAGGCATCTCAGTGCATGCTGGCAGGAGCTGCATTAATCCCACGCTCTCCCTCTCTTGTGTCCAAAGGAGAGGGAAATGCAGCCGGTGCAATTACCGGCTCATTAACCAAATCCCATCACAACCGGTCACTCTGCACATTCTTGGTGATTTAATTCCCCCATTTAATTAATTCCTCCCCTAAACGCGATTAGCTCACATTAGAGACTAATTACCAGTTAATTTTCAATTTGATAGTAAGTGCTCTTCCAGGCTCTGGCTAAGCTTCCTTGGTCATGCTGGATTTGCTCAGAAGCAGCCACTTACGATCCGGATTCCTGCTGACCTTGCTGTCTCCTACACCACATGCAGGCTGACTGCAGTCCCACCATGATGGCAGTGCCTGCTGATGCAGTGGAATCCTGAGGGCACTGACCCTTCCCATCTGCTGGGCTCTTTTCCTGCCCAGGAGCGGCCCAAGGAATGTGAGAACCCAAACTGGAAAATATTTACAGTGCACAGCTTTGACCTTCTGCCCCTCTGGTGCCCAAAGCCTGTGGGCTTTGATTTTTTTTAATCTGCTTTTGTGTTTGTCAGGGGCCCTGGGGATGTGCATGCAGCCAAGGGCTGGCTGCAAGGGCTCTTGGTGCATGGCGAGCTTTTTTTGTGATCTGCTCTCTGCTTCCAAGACTTCTGCATTTGATCCACAGGATAATTCAGTGCAAAATGCAGAAGCTGAACAGGAAGCAGAAGGCAGTGCTTCCTCCCCACGTCTCCTCCCGGATGTGTTTGCAAAACTGCTTTCTCAGTGTGCTTCTGCCACGTGGAGGCCTCCTGGCCTCATTTGTGAACTGTGCAGCACAGTGTCATGGTTTGGACAGGAGGGGGTGACAGTCCTCTTCTGATCCACGCCAGCATGCAGCATCTGCTGTCAGGGCACTCCTTCATGGACTCTGTGTGCATTTGCCTTCCCCACACAGCAGAAAGCAAAACATCACATCTGCTGCTGCCCAGGCAAGCTCTCACAAACTGCTACAACTGTTCCCAGGAAAGCAACCCGAGCTCTGACAGGCAGCCTGGCCCTGCAGTTGCTCTGGAACAGAGACTTAGGTAGCTTGGGGCATAATGCCCGAATGGCACTTAGGTTGAAGTAGGCCTCAAAAGCTGTCAGCTGGGGCCTGAGGCAAGGCTCTGTAGGCATAGGCTGACCCTCCTGTGCCTTGCACAGTGGGCAGGAGCTAAGGGATGCCTCAGCCCTTCAGATGGAGGCCTGAAGGCAGCATGGGTAGATTTTCTTCCCCACTTTCCTATCTCACACCTATGAGCCCATTGCTCTGACAGCACTGTGTGCAGAGTGCTGTTCCCAGATGCACCCAGGCAGATGCTGGCAGTGCTCGCTGGGTAGCAAGAAGGGTGAGAATGTGTTCTGGGTGCCCTGCAGGGTGGAGGGATGTGTGGCTGGAGCTGTGCACTGCAGACATGCCAGAGATGAGCAGGAAAGGTGTGCTGCCACCTGCCAAGTGGGCAGGGGGACAAATCATGAGCTTAGGAGATGTGTGGGAGCATGAGAGATTGATTAAATGGCTTTCCTAGATGTGTGATGTGAGGTGGTCCGAGGTGACGAGCCAGGACAAGGAGCATGTTCTCCCTAGAATCATAGAATCATTTGAGTTGGAAGGTACCTTTAAAGGGCATCTAGTTCAACTCCCCTGCAATGAACAGGGACAACTACAGCTACATCAGATTGCTCAGAGCCCCGTCCAGCCTGACCTTGGGTGTCTCCACGGATGGGGCATTCACCACCTCTCTGGGCAACCTGTGCCAATGCCTCATCTGGAAAAATTGTTTTTCCTTATTTCCAATCTAAATCTCCCCTCTTATAGTTTGAAACCACTTCCCCTTGTCCTGTCACAACAGATCCTGCAAATGTGTCTGTCCCCTACTGCTTCCTCCACCCATCTGTGCCATACAAGCTGAGACAAGAAGACAGTGGCTTTTGGTGGCCTTTGGTGGTCCTTCAATCTGTCATTCTTCTTTTTGGGCACTGTGGGGCATCAGGGTGAAGGTAGGCACAGCCCTGTGTTGTTAGAAACAGTGCCACTTCCCCATCCCACACCTGCACATGCTGGACATGCATTCTCAATACAACTTCTTGGAAGAGAAGTGTGAAAAGTCTGCTGAAATCAAAAGGAACTAAGAGCCATAGTAAGAAATTCTGGGTAGAACCAAATTTATTTATTTATTTATTTGTTTGTTTGTTTTGAGAGCTGACATGTTTTGCAGAGACCCAGTGTGATTTATTTTTATTGCTGCATGTTTAGCCCTCCTTCACCTTTCCTACAGCTCAGCTTGAGCACTGTTGAGTTGTTGAGGTTGCAGAGCAACCTCAACCTTCCCCTGCCTTGTACGTGTAGTGTTTACCTCATCTATTTTCTGCTTCCCACCATACACATAGCGTATGTTCTCTGTTATAACTCAAACCAGGCATGGTAGCTCAAGCAACTTGTTGCAACACACTTGTTGCTAAAGCGCAGCTGTTGCTAGCACAGCTTCTCCCCACTCTTATCAGGGTCAAGCAAAACTTGATGCAATGTGCACAGCCTCAGTGGGTAGCTCAGTACAACCTAGAAAGGGTGAAGTGATTGACAAGCTGCAGCTTTGCTGCTGTTGAGCTCCTAGGAGTTGGGCTGTCTTTTTGCCAGTTGCTAGGCTGGAGACCTGGCACTGATCTCATCCAGAAGTACAGCACTCATTGCGTGGGCATTGCTTTGTTTGTCACTGTTGGCTTGGTGTCTCAGAAAAAGCCGTTGTGCTTCCTCTTACATTTGGGCACATTTGGGTTGCCTGAATTTTTGTCCCTTGCACAGGGCCGATGCTTCCTCTGTGCAGGCTTCCTCCTGCCTGGCCCCTTTGCTAGGAGGGATGCAAGGCATATGCAAGGCTGCCTGTGTTGAAACCTGTTAGCTGGAGGGAGGGTTCGGCCACAACAAAGAGCCTTTAATAGGCTCTCCTGCTGTGTTTTCAGCCAAGTCGTTGATGTGGACTTGATTATTCAGTGAATGAATGCATTTCCATTTTGATTATGCGCTTGGGAAAGCACAGTGACTTCATTTAACAAATCTTCCAGATCATCTGTAAGAAAAAAAATGCTCTAAACCTTCTGATCATTATGTCATTGAAGTATCTATTCTGTGCAAGGGGGAGAAGATGGCACTGCTTCTGTCCCGCCAGTGGGGGATGTGAACAACCAGGAGGCATATAACCTGTCTGGTGAGGTGTGGCAGGGCTGTTGACTTGAACAACCTATGACGTGCCATGGGTTTGCTGTGGAGAGGCTATTTCAAAAGACATTTGCATGGCTCTGGAAGAGACTGACTCATCAGCTGTAAGGGAACTGTGCCGCATTTCCATTAGATAGCTAGGAACTGAAAGTAGCCATTGCCAGCAGCCCATGGAAAGCACAGTGCGAGGAGGTGAGCAGGACAAGGCAGCTCCGGGCTTGTTACGTTGACAGAAGTGACCCTATGTCTGCTGGTGGGACACATGAACAGCAGCTGCTTGAAGGCAGAAGTGAGAGCAGGGGGAAGACGAGGTGGCTCAGCCCCAGTTCAGGTTTCACCAGCAGCCATTTGTCCCCAAAGTTAAACCGAGAGTGTGTTGTTCCCTTTCAGATGCTGGCTCTGCACTTTCAGGTCTCTGCTCCTGCTGCAAGGTTTCGCCATGGTGCAGGACTGGGTTCTCAGACCCATGCTTTCCCTCACCCTCTTCCCTTGCTATTTCACAGGCTTTGCTTCTTGGCCCTCCTGGTGCAGCAGGAAGATAGGAAAATCTGTTGTTCTGGCAGCATCCAGGATTTTCTGGGACCTGCTGGCAAATGTCTGGGCAGATGTTTCTCAGAGTTTGTGTAACTTCAGTGGGAGGCAGCCTCATATGCAGATGAGGAGATTGTCCCTGTTAAGACCAGCCCAGAAGTGAAAAAAACTTATTTCTCACCTAGATCAGTTTCTCTATGACAGCCCATGCCTGGGCAGCATGCACTGCTGATGTGGGAATGCAAGCAGCTGTGCAAGGACCTGCAGTGTGGAAGCCATGGTGAATGTGAAGCCTTGTAATAGGCAGTGCTTTGGTCTGTAATGCTCTGCCGGGGAGATTCCAGGGCTTGGAGGATGCTGTATGCACCCAGCAGTGAAGTGTGGACATCAGCAGAGGCTGCTGGAGGGAATTCGGGGCCAGAAAGCCCACCGAATGCTAAGCATCTGCAGCACTTCCAGCCTTGAGCGCTCATCAGCCCTGAGTCACACTGACAAATGTCAAGGCATGGTTTAAAGCCCGAGTTGTTTTTTTTCTTTAAAAAAAAAATAAAACCAAACACAAGTTTCTTTTATCTGCCACTCAGAATTTCTGCTTTTTCTACCTAAGAGGACTGAAACTTCTCCCCAGGAACCACTTTCTCACGTTGCCATCTCATTTCGGCCCCAGGGGTGATCAGAACATGAAGCTGGAGTTGTGGGGGCTGGCAGAAGAGCTCAGTGTTCCTGCAGCCTTCTCTCCAAGGTGCCTGCAGAGTGAAGTTCCCCAGCCAGCTGGCTGCCCACAGATGAGTATTTCCCAGAAAAGGTGACCTCAGTGCCCACCCACAGCCTCCCCACTGCGCCTGTGCTGAGGCACGTTCTCAGCTCTGTGGTTGAGAGGGGACCACAGGCGGACTCATGCGGGTGGATAGCACAGAGCTGAGCCGTGCTGGAGGCAGTTTCTGCAGCACTGCCATCAGGGTTGGGGCTGCTGACACCGCAACAGGCACATCCTGCCTCCATCGCCCCCAAATGTGGCTGCTGGAGTGAAGCTTTCCTGCTGCATCGAGCATAAATTCATCAGGTATTCCATTTCCTAAGGAGGAAAAAAAAAAAAAGGCAGAATAATTCACTTAGAAATACAGCGTAGAGTCATTTTCCCTCTGACACGGTGAGTGCAATTACCTGAGGCATGGAGGGCTGAGATAACTCGTTCATTCAGCTCCCTCCCTCCACAGAGATCATCATCATTCTGTCAGAAAAGGCTTTAAAAAGCAATTCACATCCCGAATGCAGAGTCTGGATGCTGGACCCATCCTTGTGATTTCCATGCAGCAGCTGCAGCATCACAAGCAAAACTGTCTTTTAGACAGTGCAGTGCTCATTATTTTGAGGGCCATACTCACCACACAAGCTCCCTGTGTTTGCAGTCCCTTTTCCCAGAGCTACTGTCATCTCCTCGTCCTTTAGGAGCGAAGCTTATTGGCATCCTATTTGGAAAGCTCAATTAACTGCCGCCATAAGCCTGTGCTTGTCCCCAAATGTAATCATGTTTAGGCTGCATCCTCTGCCCCACCTCCTCAGCCATTATCTAATGGGCAGCAGAGTAATGGTTTGTGATAATGCTGTTTGAATGGCAGCAGTTCAGTTCTGGGCTTAATTTTTTTTTATGGTGGGTTGGCAGGGGGAGAAAGCACTGGTTTAGATTGCCTGCAATCCCTGTTCTGCTTTTGGAGCTTTAGGGGACGGACATGTTCTTCCATCTCCACTAATCTCCCTCTGATATCGAGGATTTTCCTGCCATTAAATGATAGCTTGTGAGAAAAAAAATGCCAACTTCCTAGAGGCAGAATGCAGCTAATGGCATCCCTGTGAGCAGGAGGGAGAGCACAGCCACTGCCCAGCCAGGTAAGCCACGTCTGTAGGTGCTTTCTGTTGGGAATCATAGCTTTGGCTGTTCGGTGTGATGCCAACATCTGTTGCCTGGGGAGGTGGCCAGTCCCTGACCATTGGTGATCTCTTCCCACCTCAGCCAGGAGCACACTGTCAGCACAGCTGGAGAGAAGGAAAACCTGCAGGGTTGGCTGAGAAGGTGGATGGTGGAAGGAAGGCACCCGGCAGGAACGTGTGGAGTGCTGGGGACTGTCAGAAGCCGTGTGCAGCAGTATCCTCTTCCTCAATCTTCTTTGTAAATATAGACCTGGCAATGGGAAAATGATGCAGGCAAACAAGAGGGTGAAACCTATCTCTGCTCTTCCTGTGTGCTTTTAGATCCCCAAGTTTGCTTGCCAGACCTGAAATGCCACTAGCGAATAATCAAGGTAATGTTTGTCATCATTTTAAATGGTGAGTAGCACTCTTATTCTGCATTACCCAGTAGTGGGTTGTATGGATTGTTCTGTAGGTTAGATATGGAATTATTGCAAGCACTGCCTCTTCACCCTTTTAAAATCTCTGGCAAACACTTCTTTGGTCTCTCATTCTTTCAAATTATGGTGTTATTTAAAAGACTGAAAGAGATCATCCCTGGGTGGAATTTTTCTATTCCTTAATCTCACTAATATTTGTTACCTTAATGCTGAATTCCATCCTTTTTTTTTTTATAAAACAAAAAACAAAAAACAAAAAACAAAAAAGAAAAACACATCTGCACACTGTGTCAGTGAGTTGGAGGCATCATCAGCTGCTGCTCTGACAAGTGTCAAAAGCAAATAGCATCCACTGTGGGGAGGGGGATGGACTAAGGATGGCAAGGTGGGATGTTTCATGCTGTGTTGGTCATAGGAGATCTGACTGTCAGGTGAGACTGCTTTCCTGTGCTTGCAGGAGGGGGATTTGGGAACACGTCCTTTGCATGAGAAAAAGGGAGAATGCAACAAAGATGCTGTGGGGCTCCTCTGAACTCCTGCTGCCTGGGGAATGTTTTCCAGTTTGCTGCTCCTCAAACATTTCCTTTCCGTGTACTGCACAGAGCAAGTTACACTTGTAGATCTTAGATGAGTGCTGTGAAATGCCACTAGCAGAAGACACAGATTTGGCTCTAAAAAAATTGTGCCTAAGGAGAAACACTGGAAAATGGGTTGGGTGCAGACATGTCCTTTATCAAGAGATTAGAGAGCAGGCAGGGAGGGGAAGGAGAGGATTTTGCTCGTTTCTACTGAGCACACAGTGCACACAGCTGCTGGGGGAGGTTTGCTCCAAAGGCTGTAGATGGGAGCAAGGTTGGAGTAGATGTAGCTGAATGCTGAGCTTGCTTGGGACAGCCTCACATATGGGGCAGCCTATGCACATATGTCCCCCTGGATGTCATCCTGAGCCCATGTGAGGCTCTTGTTCCAGCAACAGTACTTCCATCAGTTTCCAGACAGCCACCTGCAGCCAAACATTTGAGAACAGGCAAATCCTTAATCTGTCTGAACCTCAGTTTATGTAACAGCATCAAAAAAACAACATATGCCCCTGTTTGCACGCAGTGATGAGGAATGGTGAAGAGGGAAGCAAAAGACACAGCCCCTGTGTAAAGACAGGGCCAACCGAGGCCAGTTCCTTGTCCTCCCTCTTGTCCTAGGATCCTCATTCATTGCCTACCCAGTACCCTGCTAAAGAGTCAGTAGAAGGGTTTAGGAAAAAAGGAGAATATGAAGAAATGTCAGATTGCATAAAATTCTTCCCACCTCTCCAGGTCCTTCCCTGTTTCTTCTTGAGTGTCCCTGTTTTGCTAATTCTCCAGTCAACATAGCATGGCCAACCTTGGTGGGATCTGACCCAACAGAAGCCAGAGCTAAAGTCCTTCTGGGATGTGCCCTCCATTTACCTCAATCTGCCTTCCAGCCCAGTGACCAAGGGACAGTTTGGGCTGACGTGGGGAGGCTGATGGGTTGGTGTCAATGGGCACCCACTCCTAGTTGAAGAAACTTCAGGCACTGCAAGCTACCAGATACATACTATGTGTGTTGCATTCCAAAAGGATGAAGGGCAGAGCAATTGTTGCTCACACTGCCATTTGGTCTGTGCAGTAAAGCCTTGGGTACTGTGAAAATAACAGATGGATGCTTGCTGAAGGTGATCCTTCCTTGCACATCATCTCACAAGCCTCTCTTAATAAGGAACACAGCTCAATAAGGAACAAAGCTTAGTGAAGAATACAGTAGTGGGCCATCACTGTACTACACGGCAGCAGGGAGAGGTGGTTCAGCTGCTGGGAGTTTCCCTCAGAGTCTCCCTCAGAGACAGAGCATGGGGAGAAGCCCCTTTCTTGCCCTTTGGCCACTGCAGCACTCATGTGGTCCCTACAATGCTGTTAATAAAGGTGGTTGATGGAAAAGATTATATAATTTCCTGTGGAAAAATGTATGAAAAGATTTTGCTTTCGTGACAGACAGTGGACAGCAGCAGAAAAACCATTTGAGTGAGAAGCAGTTAAGGTGTGTCTTTGAAAGAGATTACAAAATGAGATCTGTAGTATTCAGTTCTTGCTCTCTAACGAGTTCATTGCTTAGTCATTTTGCTGCTAGGAGTTTCTTTCCACAAAATGTTTCAGTGTGTGCTGGCTGATGTCTCTTGTTCCCTTCATTCTTCTCTGATTTGTCCCCAATAGCTTTCACCTTCTTGGACATCCACCTGCTTGGGATTAACTTGACAAGAAACCACACATCACTCAGGTGGCAGACTGATAAAATGACTGAAGTGCTTCCTCCCACCAAACCCATGACACTATGGTGACTGTATTGAGAATTCACAAAACTCTAATGTCACATTGAATGACATGGTCTAGAGCTGTCACAGGCATGGGCTGATGGTTAGACTAGATGATCTTAGTGATCTTTCCAACATTAATGATTCTATGAATCTGTGATCCCATGAATGGTACAGAGTATCTCATTTGTGGGGAGAGCACTAAGAAAGCATCTGAACAATATTCCTGAATCTGTCCTTCCTTGTGTCTGTCTCATGGAACACAGCAACACCCTTAGCAGGTGATAGCTTCCCTTGCAGTGCTGCAGCAGCTGCAGCTTCGGTGGAGAAATGTGAGATTGAATAAAAATGAAAGATGCAAAAAGCATGAACACTGACATGCTACAGGCTGCCAACTGATCTCCCCTGCCTACTTCTGGAATAGAATCATAGAATCACAAATATTGGAAAAGACCTCCAAGATCATCCAATCTAACCATTCATTCCCCCATCACCAATATTCCACACTAAACCATGTCCCTCACTACAACATCTAAATATTTCTTGAACACTTCCAGGGCTGGTGAATCCATCACCACACTAGGCAGCTTGTTCCAGCACCTGACCACTCTTTTGGAAAAATAGTACTTCCTAATGTCCAACCTGAATCTCCCCTGGTGCATCCTCATCCTATTCCCTCTCATCCTATCTCTAGTTACATGGGAGAAGATGTCGACCTTCATCTCAACACAACCTCCTTTCAGGTGGTTGTAGATAAGGTCTCTGTTGAGCCTCCTCTTCTCTAATGGAAGATGGAACAATCCCAGTTCCCTCAGCCACTCCCCATAAGACTTGTGCTTCAGACCCCTCACAGCTTCACTGCCAGAGCTTCAACATCTTTCTTGCAGTGAGGGGCCCAAAACTGAACACAATATTCAAAGTGTGGCCTCATCAGAGCACAGAAAGATGATCACTTCCCTGCACCTGCTGGCAACACTATTTCTGATATAAGCCAGGCTACCACTGGACTTCTTGGCCACCTGGGCACACTGCTGGCTCAGCTGAACATTGAACAATACCCCCAGCTCTGTTTCCTCTATACAGTCTTCCATCCTCTCTGCCTCAGAGCTGTAGAGTTGCCTGAGTTTGTTGTGGCCAAAGTGCAGGACCCAGCACTTGGCCTGTTGAACTTCATCCCACTGGCCTCACTTCAGTGATCCAGCCTGTCCAGATCAACAGCATACACTGACTGCCCTCCTCTGTTCTCCACCCAGAAATACTGCAGCCCCACAGTTGCTGTCCTTCAAAACATCTCTGCAGGTTCCTGTAGCCAAGCCTTGTCCCCACCAGTTTGCAATCATGGGAATGCTGAGAAATCAGTGGTGTTGGAGGGAGCTCTCTGGGTTCATCTGACCCAACCCTCACTCCAGCAATAACATCCAGATCACAGTGGCCAGGATGACATCCATGTGGCTTCTGAGGATCTTCATGGGGGAGGCTCCACAGTCTCTCTGGGTAACCTGCTCCAATCAGTCTGGATGACTTCTCCTCTCAGGGAGAGAAATTCCACAGAAAGGATGCAGTAAGAAACTAACTAACACTTTCCCAGAGAGTCTATAAGCAACAGCAGACCTCTAGGAATTGTTCACAAGGGCTTCTTAGCACAGGCATACAAATACTGTGTGACAATTAGCCTGCCTAGAAGGGAGCAGAGGCAGCATAATATTTCTTCTCGTGTCATAACTAATATGTTTGCTAATGTCTCTTGTTTTTCTCTTCTCACACCTTCATGGGGTCGGCACATTCCTTGCTGTCAGTGATCCTTTGGGTGCCCCATGTCCACGCGGTGTGGGCCTGTGTGCGGTCCTGCCCTGCCAACTGTGTGTGCACCCAGGAACGGAGCTGCTCTGTCCTCTGTGACCGTGCTGGCCTGGGGCAGATCCCCAGTGAATTCCCCTGCGAAGCCTCCTCTATTAACCTGGACAAAAACAGCATCAAGTTCCTCTCTGAGAGGGCCTTTGGTACTTTGCCTTCCCTTAAATCCCTGTCCCTCAACCACAACAATATCTCCTTCATCACTCCGGGGGCTTTCAAGGGTCTGCCCAGCCTGACAGAGCTGAAGATGGCCCACAATGAATACATCCGCTACCTGCACACACGGACATTCACTGCTCTCCGGCGGCTTGTCAAATTGGACCTGGCGGACTGCAACCTCTTCAATATCCCAGACAGGATCTTCATTGAGCTGCCCTCTTTGCAGGAGCTTTTCTGCTTCCAGAACAACTTCCGAAGGATCCCAGGTGCCATTAGGGGCATGGAGAATCTGACCCATGTCTACCTGGAGAGAAACAGGATCGAAGCGGTAGCCTACAACTCCCTGCAGGGGCTGACCAAGCTAAAATACTTGAATCTGCAAGACAACAGGATAAATGTTGTTCATGAGCGAGCTTTTCAGGGCTGCCAAAAGATGGAGTACCTGTACCTGAATGACAATTTGATCAGCGAGCTGCCAGAAAATTCCTTTGATGGCCTGAGGTGCCTGAAAATGCTCAACCTAGGGGGGAATTTCCTCAGGAATGTTTCCAACACTTGGTTCAGGGACCTGGTGGAGCTGGAGGTTCTCTATCTGGACCGCAACAGGATCAACTACATTGAGGAGGGGGCTTTTGAGAACCTCACCAGCCTGGTCTCCTTGCACTTGAACAGCAACAACCTGACGACCCTGCCCTTCTCTGTCTTCCAGCCTGTGTACTTCCTGGGACGGCTGTATCTCTTCCGCAACCCCTGGGAGTGTGACTGCCGCATCGAATGGCTGAAGGAGTGGATGGAGAACTACAGACTTGTCAGGGACATTCCCTGTGCCTCCCCGTCCTCTGTAGCTGGGATTGACCTAATGGACGTGCTCTACGACAGATCACCAGAAGGTTACTGTCTTGACCCCGCGGAGCTAAATGTCACATCTGACAGTCCGACCCCTAGCAGCGAGCCTTTCTCTACCACAGAGAGCAAGTTCAACAGCCTTATTTCTAAACTCTTGCTTCAGATGGGCCTTCCCGAAGAGCTGGCAAACACTACTGAAGTCTTCAGTAACGCTACACAACTGGATGGACTCACTGGTGGGGTTACTTCTGGCACAAGGGAAGACAGCAGCAAAGCCATCTCCTTCTCTTTCCACCTCCCAACACTTCTTACAGTGGTTATTTTCCGGAGCAAGTAGTGCAAAGGCTGCCTGAAGCATGCGTCCTGCTGGAGCATTTAGTCTTTGTCCCTTCCTTACACTGCCCAGGGTTGCTACAAAACTTTGCAGGCCCTTTTAAACAGGAGGATGGTACCTGGGGAGGGTCTGGGGTGAGCGTGGCTTTTTGGGTGTGATGTTAGATAAGGATTTTGTTCTTCTCCCTGCAATCCTGAGACATCTGCAGGAAAACCAGAGACACCCATTTTTGTCAAAGCAGTCTTCTCCAAGGAAAAGCTTTCAACACAACGGTTCACTCCTCAATGTCTGTTTCAAATGCTCAATTCATTTTTCAATGAAGATATTGTTTCAAGGAATATGCTGTTTTTATTTATAGGTTGTTTCATGTCCTGATACCAGGAGTGGAATATGGCAATGACAGATGTAGACAGGCTGTACTGTACTGTTTTGTATTTCTATCACTCATTAATATTTATCACACAATACTTATCATACATAACTTATCATATTGTGGTATACATGTTTGTATAAAATGATAGGACATACATAATCCCTTACTAGTACTAAAATGTCACAAAATCAGAATAAAAATGGAAATGCATTTAAATTACTCTTTCTAACATTTCCTTAAATCTTTGTTTTCTCCATCCTTGCTTTTTCACAAACAATTCAGTGCAAACATGGATTTCAGAGATCATAGAATCACAGAATGGTTTGGGCTGGAAGGGACCTCAAAGCCCAATCACCCCAACCCCTGCTGTGAGCAGGGCTGACCCCACCAGCTCAGGCTGCCCAGGACCCCATTCAACCTGGCTTTGAGATGTTGAAGATATCCATGGTCTGGCAGACCTGGGGATGTCCATTTCTGACACACCTTTTTGTTCAGCTGCAGAAAGCAAGCAGGGTTAGTGCTGCTGTATGGTAGGACAGGAATCCTGTGGATATAATGAAACCCAAGATGTGTAGATGAGAGCCTGGTGTGAGGTGGCACCTCCATTAGTTCCCCATCCCCTGCCACTTCCTCATATCACACTCCAGTGGCCACTCAAAAACAGAAGGAAAGGACAGGACATCTGGAGATAGACTTTGCCCTTTGAACAGTATTGGGTGACACGGAAGTTTCATGCAAGAAACTTCTTCCAAAAGGGCTCAATGCTTAGAATCATAGCATTGTAGAATATCCCAAGTTGAAAGGGACATGTAAGGATCACTGAATCCATAAGGAGCATCAGCAGATACCTTGGGCCAGGTCTTTGTCACTGACCAGCCTAGAGAAGCTGTGACCAGGAGTTTATCCCTTGGCCTCAAACAGTGCCCTCAGCTGAGCATGTCAGGGGAACAACCCACAAAGTGTCCCACAGACCTTGTAGCAAACTGACTTGGTGAAAGCTGACAGGAACTCACACAAAGTAACTGTGCGCTTTTAACCTGCCACAGTAGCTGCTTCCTGAAATGGAAGCTTCTTTTTTCCCCCCATTTGAGTATGCCCATACATTTTGTCACCAAAAAGGCTTCAGGACGTGTTCCTCCGGGCTGCCTCATTTGGTGTGCAGAGCTCTGTCCAAAAAGATATGCTGCTTTCTAATTAGCACCAGGAATTTCTAAGAGCAGTCAATACCAGGCAATCCCTGTCAGGATGGCCCTTCAGCTATCTGTAGTTAGACCACAGCTTTTTCCCTCAGTGAAGAAAGATGGCAGATGGTTTGATAAATGCCTGTTTGACCTGTTCCATGAACTAAATGCAATGAGTTTGGATTTCCAGGCTATTTATGAATCCATTAATCTTCTTAAACGCTAAATTCATCTCTGTATTATGAAAGGCTGTTTTTCAAAACCAGTCCAGGCAAATGCTGTAGAGGCGCATTATGTTAAGGATGCTTCTACAGGAGCAGTGCTTCATCCTGTCAGCAAAGGTTTGTCAGTATGTTTGACACAGATGGTGGCACACTGGGAACAAAAGGTCATGTTTCACTTCCTATAGGATGGCTGTTCGATGAGTGAGTTGTTTTATGACCCATGCTTTCATTTTCTCTGCTGAAATGCATTAGAGCTGAGGATTGTCTTACTGTGTAATTGAAAGAGTATGGCTTTCAAGTTAATTATTGCTTCAAATATGCTTCTTTATGTGCAAGAATGGCAGATAGATAGATTAGAGCTGAATGTGAAATGCCTGAAAATGGCAGAGATTCCTCGGTGAAGTAAAGGACAAGGAGAGTGTCTGTGATACACTGCAGCATGACCACAGAATTATAGAATCAGAGGATCATACAATCACCAAGTTTGGAAAAGACTTCCAAGATCTAGTCCAACCGTCCATCAGTCACCAATATTCTCCACTCACCATGTCCCTCAGTACAACATTTACACAGCTATGAACACTTACAGGGACCATGACTCAACCACCTCTGTTCCAATGTCTCACCACTCTTTCAGAGAATATTTTGTTCCTAATATCCAACCTGAACCTCCCCTGGTGAAACTTGATGCCATTCCTTCTCATCCTATTTCTGATACCTGGAAGAAGAGGCTGACCCTCACCTTGCCACAGCCTCCCTTCAGGTGGTTATAGAGAATGATAAGGTCTCCCGCAAGCCTCCTCTTCTCCGTACTGAACAATTCCAGCTCCCTCAGCTGCTATAGATATAAGACCTGTGCTATAGATGCCTCACTACCTTTGTTGCTCTTCAGACTCTGGACATGCATCAGGGCCTCCATGTCTTCTTTGTACTGAGGAGCCCAGAACTGAACACAGCACTCAAAGTGTGGCATCACCAGAGCTGAATACAGGGGTGATCATCTCAGGGCTCCTGCTGGCCATACTATTTCTGATATAAGACAGGATGCTGTTGGCCTTCTTGGCTCACGTTCAGCTGAGAGTCAACCAACACCTCCAGATCTTTTTACTCCACATAGTCTTGCACTCACTAGCCCCAGGTCTGTAGCAATGCCTGGGGTTGTTGTGGTCAAAGTGCAGGACCCAGCACTTGGACTTGTTGAATTTCATCCCATTGGCTTCAGCCCAGCTATCCAGCCTGTCCAGGTCCCTCTGTAGGACCTTCCTTCCCCCAGACAGATTGACACTTTCCCCCAGCTTGGTGCCATCTGCAAACTTACTGAGGGTGCACCTCTTGCAAGTCATCATTAAAGATATTGAACAGGACAGGTCCCAATATCAACCCTTGGAAGACGCCACACATAACCAGTTGCCAGTTGGATTTAACTGCATTCAGCAGTACTCTCTGGGTCTGGCCATCCAGCCTGTTCTTTACCCAGCAAAGAGTGTACTTGTCCAAGTCATAGGCAGCCAGCTTCTCCAGGAGAACACTGTGGGAGACACTGTGGGAGTTCTGGGCCAGTGAATTTAGACATGAATAATTTAGACATATTGTATATCCCAGAGTGCTTGCCCCAGGAAGCATCTCCCTGTGGGTCTGCAATTCAACTACAGCTGCCAAGAAAGTGCATGCTACACATACTGGCTTTCAGCTTCCCTGTAGTAATTGAAGCAGCTCTTGCTCCCTCCAGCTCTGAAATCCTGCTTGTGCCTCAGAGCCCTTGAGAGATCAGCAGTGTGCATTGCTGGCAGTATGGAGTAGGTGGCAAGTGAGCCCTTGGCTCCACCAACAGAAGCCTGTGAATCTGTGCATGACACTTCCCCTTCCTTCCCTCTGCTTCATCTTGCTCCATCCCCATAGCTCTGTGTGCTCAGCTTGAGCATTGCCTTTGGTCTGCCTTGCCTGGAGCAGAAACTTCCCAGGTAGGACAGCAAAGTGTTTCCACTCAAATCCTGAGAGGACTTCCAGCATCATGAAAGCTTGAGTTGGACTCCAAGTGCCAGGTTCACTGTGCCATGAGCCTTGTTTCTGAGGTCATAGCAAATAGTTGGTTTCTCTGGTTGTACGGGTAGATACCAACCCATAACTGATTTTAAGTTATTTTCAAATTCTCAATTAGAAAACAAGATGAATAAGGGATCTGCCTTTTGAATGAATACTTTGTCTTTCCTATTTCTTGATGGAAGGTTATTCAGAATGTTGTATTTGCTATTCTGCTTATCTCATGGAGTCTTACCGTGTCTTTCTGCTTTGGCAAGAGATGTGAAGTCCAGGGCAAGAACATAACTGTAAAGTCAGTGTAATGATAGCTATTGCTAGAATGGCAGAAAATGCCCTCCAGCTGACACTGGAGCCTCACTGCCAGTTTTGAAGTGGATGTTAAATATTCAGTTAATTCTTGGCTTGATGACATCTTGCTATTAGCTTTTAAAACAACTAGATCTTGAAATTGGTGTTTTTCCTTCATAATTGTTGTGACCATAAACTCAAGAGGAGCCAAATCAGCTGAGATAAAGTGGGTTTAAACAGCAGAAAACTGCTGTTCCTCCACTGCCGTATATGAAGCCTTGCAAGAAAATAGCCTGCCATGGTCACTGCTGCCCTAGTGAGAACTTCATAGCACAGGGCTGGCTTGGCTAAGAAAAAAAACACTTTCAGTCACATCAAACACAGCTTTTTAAATACCCACTTTATTAGAGTCAAGATATGAGTTTGTTATGTTAACACTGATAATATAAATCCCTCCTCTCTTGCCTGCTGCCCAAATCTGATAGAGACCCATGGAGTTTGACGAACTGAGATCTAGTGAGTGTAAATGCCAAAACCTCCAGAAGAGTTTTAAAAGAGCTTTATAGAAAAGATCACCCATGGAACAAAGACAATGAATTAAGAAAAAAAAAAAAAAAAAAAAGCATCACAAGTAGTATTTTAAAGAAAAGCATGTTGGTAGTGTTTAAGCATAACAAAATAATCTCAATATGTAAAGGTCAGGTGTAAAAGAAACCGTATCAAAGGACACCATGGAGCAGCCAACTGTTGGACAAAGCCTTGTGTAAGTTTTAGATTTTCATTGTGAAGAATCACCTGTGGGTGAGAAACTCACCATACACAAGACCTGCCTCAGTGGTCCTTCTTTTGGAACAAAACGGGTCTTCTAAACTGCAATCTCTAAAATAAAATGAGTACAAATATGGCAAATACCAGACACTTCTCAACACACTAGATCTTAACCAAAGCCTGATTTTGTTGACCCTGTGGTTAGCCTGTCTGATCTTGTACTCTGTGGTTAGTCTTGAATGTGAAAAGTTCATTACTTCTGCAGTTCTTCTCACTTTGACCTTCACCACATCCTTTGATTTTTATTATGCTTCCCTCTTAATTTCTCTCTTTTTTAAAGATTGATTTAAAGCCTTAATATAAAGCATAAAGCGTATATTCTCCACAAAGAATCCCAACCTAAAAACTTCAATTCGTTTTACTGTACTTCCTCATCCCACACTTTAGCTTGTGTGGACACCCCACTCATTTGGTTTTTGGATTAAGAGAGAATTTCATTTAGCACTCATTCAGTTTCTAAGAGCAGGACAGGGAGGGTTGAGTTGACCTGTGACAGAGACCAACTTAAGTTGTCTTTCTTCTGCACCCCACAAACCATCTCTTCCCCTCCTGCAATTGCTTGCTCCTCTTTCAAGCTGCTTTTGCTGGCACCTGTGTTAACCTGCTGCAATGGGGCTGTGCTTGAAGATGAATTT